CCAGGGCTAGATTATAGACCGCTCTGAGTCTCCCTCCAGATCACGTCTCATCTGCATCTGAATGAAACCCTCCTGGGCTGTGAATGTGTGCAATTTAAGATGTATATATGTTGTCCTCCCTTACCCCACAAAGCATTGTTAGTCCCTCGTGAAAAATGAGTAACTGTAAATCGCTCAGAGCCAGCAAGCTCTGCAGGATTGAGCGATTAATAAATTGAAAGATTATTATTAGTTATTATTATCTTTAGGTAGGGAGCTGCGGTGGCTCAAGTGGTTAAGACGCTGAACTGCAGGCTGTGGAAGGTCAGTAGTTCAGCAGTTTGAGACCCGGGTGCCGCAAGACGGGATGAGCTCCCGTCTCTAGTTCCAGCTCCTGCCAACCTAGCAGTTCGAAAGCAAGAAATTGCAAGTAGATAAATAGGGACCACTTCGGTGGGAAGGTGACAGCGTTCCGTGCGCCTTGGTGTTTAGTCATGCCGGCCCCATGACCACGGAAACGTCTTCGGACAGCGCGGGCTCTTCGGCTTTGAAACGGAGATGAGCACCGCAACCCTAGAGTCGGATTCGACTGGCTTTCGAGCAAGGGAAGCTTTACCTTTACCTTAGGTAGACACGAGATCTCAGAGTCGGAGAGGCCTGGCAGCTGACCCCTACCACACTTTCTGTCCCTTCCACATACTCCCCCCCCCCGCCACACCAGATTTACGACAGTAGCCTGCTGCAGTTCAGGTCAGCAATCGAAGACCCCCCAGAAGGAGGCGGCGCTTGGTGTGCATGCCTGAACCAGAACTAAAAGACTCCCGTGCCTGTCACACACCTAACATCCGGGCCACCTATCGCTGAGACGGTCAAGCTTTACTCGGGACTCCCCTGGCCTCGTAAGGTCAAAACCCAGGGCTTTCCGGCTGCCCCAAAGCCCCTCTTCCCCAAGCCGGCACATCCTGACTCATTCATACTCCCCCCCCCCAAGCCCCTTTGGCAGACTGAGGTAATGGTGACCCCAACAAGTGACTCTGACTCACCCAGATGAATGAGAGCGCAGTGTGGGAACACGGCAGAGCTTTTCGGCTTCAATCCCTGCAAAGCTGCTTTTGAAGCTTAATTGGGTGTCTGTCTCATAAGCTCGAAAAGGGATATTGGGGGGGGGGGCGCATGGGAAAAGAAAAAAAGCCGTGGCGAAGCAAGCCCTTGACTGTAAAATAGAAAGTTGTGAGGGGGCGGTGTTTCCTGTCTTCCCGACAGCACTGCTTCGTAATAGACCGTGGATTTCTTCTGAGCATGTGCAGAGTGCCTTTCTTCTCCCCACTGAATAGTCACTGCCAACCTCCCCCTCCCCCACCGCATCGTGTAATTTAGGCTCGCCGCTTTATTCTTGGCACAGGCTGGGTGCCTTTGGCCACATGGCTTTAACAACCATGTGACAGGCAGGAATTCTACCGATGCGGTTCTTCCTGGTGATACGATGGAGAGAAAGCAGCACCTGTTGAATTTCTGACATGCACGTGACTATTGGAGGCATCGAACCTCTGCCAGAAACAAAAAGTGGCCATGCCAGATAAATGGTGGTGGGATGGAATTAAGGTAGCCCGCTGTCCCTTGAACAGAGTTTTAATATGCAATAATCATCTGGTAATTGCTGCAGATCAAATGGATCAGTTCTTTTCTGCCTCGAAGGTCAAGTGTACCTTCCAGTTGCTGCTGACTCATGGTGACCCCATGGAATTCCACCTCAGAGGGTTTTCAAGGCAAGAGGCGAACAGAGGTGGTTTGCCATTGCCTGCCTCTGTGTGGCAACTTATAAGAACATAAGAGATGCCAATGTTGGATCAGGCCAAAGGCCCATCCAGTCCAACACTCTGTGTCACACAGTGGCCAGAAATACCAGGTGCCATCAGGAGGTCCACCAGTGGGGCCAGGACATTAGAAGCCCTCCCACTGTTGACCCCCCCAAGCACCAAGAAGACAGCGCATCCCTTGCCCCAGAGTCCCTATCTATACCTTGTGGCTAATAGCCACTGATGGACCTCTGCTCCATAGGCTTATCTAATTCCCTTTTGAAGCCGTCCATGTGGCAGTGAATTCCATGTGTTAATCACTCTTTGGGCGAAGAACTTGGGTCTTCCTTGGTGGTCTCCCATCCAAGTATTAACCAGGGCCAACATTGCTTACCTTCCGAGCTCTGACGAGAAAGTGGCTACTCTGGGCTATCAGGGCTGCTCTGCTTTTTCTGTTCTCTTCATGAAAACTGGACAGGAAAGGAGTGCTGGAGTTGCAGACTTACCCCAGTGTATCTTTACAGGAAATTGATTTTTTCCCGTACCCACTACTTTAGCCCCGAGGGAACATTCTGCCGTTGGAATTCTCACCCTACCCCCATGTCTTCTTTTACGGGAACTAAACAAGGGCTAGGAAATTCCGAACTCTGGAGCAAAGAGGATTTGGGATATTTTTATTCCAAAATCTTAAGACAGCCAGCTTTAGGTATGTGAAGTGAGCAGTGACTCATGAAAACAGATATTCTATCACAAATTTTGTTACACTAGGATCTGGGAGACCGAGGAGAGTGACCTTGGACCACAGCCAGTTTGGTGCAGTGATTAAGAGCAGCAGACTCTAATCTGGAGAACCGAGTTTGATTCCTCACTCCTCCACATGCAGCCAGCTGGGTGACCATGGGCCAGTCACAGTTCTCTCAGAGCTGTTCTCTCAAGAGCAGTTCTCAGAGCCCTCTCAGCCCCATCTACCTCACAGGGTGTCTGTTGTGGGAAGAGGAAGGGAAGGAAATTGTAAGCTGCTCTAAGACTCTGAGTGAAGGGCAGGGTTGCAATCCTCTAAGCTATGGAGTCTTGTGAGCAAAAATTCTACTTTGCGAGCTACTGGCATTAAAGTTTTGAGCGAGCAATTTGGCTACTGCAGAAATTAGTTTGTTCTGGAGCCCTCCTTCCTGAGCTAAAACAAAAAAAGGTGTGAGCTGGAGACTAAAAAACTGTGAGCTAGCTCACACTCACTCAGCATAGAGGGAACACTGGCAGGGTGTAAATCCAACTCTTCTTCTTAGTCTGACCTACTTTACAGGGTTGTTGTGAGGATAAAGCGAAGGAGAGAATGGGGAGGCTGGTTATAAATGAAGTAAAAGTAAATAAAAAAGGGAAGGGAACATAGCCAGTCCCAGCGGATGCCTGAAAAACATAGGTAGACTCTGATACATCAGTTATGAAACCCGCATCTAAATGTTCAGTGTCTGGTGAGGCTGTGGCTCAGAGGAAGAGCCTCTGCTAGGCATGCAGAAGGTCCCAGGTTCAATGCTCAGCACCTCCAGTTAAAACACCTGGCAGTAAAAGGTAAAGGTTCCCTTGCTCGAAAGCCGGTCGAATCCGACTCTAGGGTTGCGGTGCTCATCTCTGTTTCAAAGCCGAAGAGCCAGCACTGTCCGAAGACGTTTCCGTGGTCACGTGGCCGGCATGACTAAACACCAAGGCGCAGGGAATGCTGTTACCTTCCCACCCAAGTGGTACCTATTTATCTCCTTGAGATTTTTTGCTTTCGAACTGCTAGGTTGGCAGGAGCTGGAACTAGAGACGGGAGCTCACTCCGTCATGCGGCACACTCTGGTCTCGAACTGCTGAAGTACTGACCTTCCACAGCCTGCAGTTCAGCGTCTTAACTACTTGAGTCACCGCAGCAGTAGGTGATGTGAAAGACCTCTGCCTGAGACCCTGGAGAGCCGCTGCCAGTCTAAGTGCATTATATTGACTCTGATGGACCAATTGTCTCATTCAGGGTAAGGCAGCGTCATGTGTCTGTGTGTTCTGTAGCCCAAACTCACATGCAGCAAACCGCTTGCTCTCGGGGCTGCATTATGACTTTTGTGGGCTCCAGGTACTTTTGCTTTTGTGGGCCCCTCCCACCATAATAATATCAGTATTTACAATTTTTTTGGCATTTTTTTTGTATTTTTCATATGTGCATGTGTGTGCGTCTGTCTGTGCGCCTGGAAGTCACAGCGACCTCGGGTGGTGACTGACCCCTACTGGGGGCCTGGAGGATATTCAGACAGGAGGCTGAATAAAGCCGGCCCCTCCTGCCTCTGGTATTCCAAGGAGGTCTCCCTTCCAAGTATTTGCCAGAGTCAACCCTGCTTAGCCTCTGAGATTGGGCTTGCCTGGGCTATCCAGGTCAGGGCAATATTAAAAATTATTTTTGGTATATAAATACTTCAACATTTTATACATTTTACCCCCCCCCCCCGTTTTAGGCAAGATTTAACAGATTTTTGTGGGCCCTAAAATTTCGTCCCCCCCCCCATGTGAGCAAAAAAATCAAAATGTTTTCTTGGACCCTAAAAGTCCACCCCCCCTTTCTGATTTTAGGAGATTCAAACATGTTCGTGGGCCCCTAAAAGTACCACGGGTCCTCGGCACTGTTGTTGTTCAGTCGCACAGTCGAGTCCGACTCTTCGCAAATCCATGGACCACATCACGCCAGGCCCTCCTTCCGGAGTCTGCTCAATTTCATGTTCGTAGATGACACTGACTAACCATCTTATCCTTTGCCGCCCCCTTCTTCTTTGACCTTCAATTTTTCCCAGCATCAGGGGCTTCTCCAGTGGGGGCTCCCTTCTCATTTGTTGGCCAAAGGATTTGAGCTTCAGTTTCATTATCTGGCCTTCCAGGGAACGGTCAGGGTCGATTTCTTTCAGGATTGACCGATCCGATCTCCTTGCAGTCCAGGGGACTCTCAAGAGTCTTCTCCAGAACCATAATCCGAAAGCATCTATTCTTCGGCGCCTAACCTCTCTTGCTGGATTTCCACCTGCCGACTGGTCCCTGGTCCCTCCTCTCCCTGGGGCTTCCTGCAGGCGGGTCCGATCCTGCGCTCGCCGGCTCTCCTAGTCACTAGAGGGCGCTCCCTTCGCTACAGATGCCTCTCTGATGGAAAAAACAGGAGACAGAATTAAATTATTTTCTTCCGACTGCGAACCGCCTTTTCCCCGAGAGGGAGGCGCTGGCGCGGGGGAGCCGTCGAGGGCTCCGGCCGGGAGAGCCGCAGGCGGCGCAGCGATAGCCAGCCGGGGAAGGGACGCTTGATGGGGAGGCCGGCGGGGACGGGCGGATGGAGGGCGGGCGTGACGCGCGTCGGAGCCCTCTAACGCCGCGCCTGTCGTCGGGAGGCAGCAGGTAGAGCGCAGGAAGAAGGCGATGGGATAAAGCGGAGAGGCTGCGCCCCGGGGAAAGCGACGCCGCGCACGTCGGACGGAGAAGCCGTCCCTCGCCCCGCTTTCTCTCCCCATCCATCTGTCCGCACGCCGCCCTCCCTCCGGCCCGCCGCTCTCCGAAGTTGCTCCCAGATGTCGGGACGGGCGGTGCGCGCCGAGACACGCAGCCGGGCCAAGGATGACATCAAGAAAGTGATGGCGGCCATCGAACACGTCCGCAGATGGTGAGGGGGCCCCGGGGGCGCTTGGCAGGAGCGGCCGAGCGGGCCCCCGACGCCTTCGCCTGGGAGGAGGGTGGCGCGGGCAACTGGCAGAGGGTCGGTGGGGTGTGAGTGGTTTTGGAGCTGTAAGCAAGGCCGGCCCCAGCTTATTTGGCACCCTAGGCGAGGATCCCTTCTGGCACGCCACCCCCCCCCCTCTAAATGCATTTTAGGAAGAATGAAAAACACAAATAATCAAGAAAGGGTGGCGCGCCACGGGAGATCCGCGGGCGACGCGGAGCTGGCAGAGGGTCGGTGGGGTGTGAGTGGTTTTGGAGCTGCAAGCGGGGCTTGTCAACCTCCAGGTGGGGGCTGGGGATTTCCCGGAATCGTGGCCGATCTGGGAACTGCAGAGATCTGCTCCCCTTGAGGAGATGGCTGCTTTGTAGGGGGGGCTCTAATGGGATCGTACCCCTCTGGGGTCTCTCTCCAACCCCCCCCCCCCATCCCCAGATCTCCATGAATTTCCCAGTACTTAGTTGGCAAGTCAGTGTAGGCCTTGGGCCCTCATAATCAAGCTCATCTCCAGTTAAAAAGGACGGGTAGTAGGTGATGTGAAATGCCCTGGAGAGCGGCTGCCAGGCTGCTTTGGAGGGGGGGGGGACTCTGATGGGGTTGTACCCCTCTGGGGACTCTCTCCAAACCCCCCCACCCGCCATCCCCAGATCTCCAGGAATTTCCCAGTGCTTAGTTGGCAACTCAGTGTAGGCCTTGGGCCCTCATAATCGAGCTCATCTCCGGTTAAAAAGGACGGGTAGTCGGTGGTGTGAAATGCCCTGGAGAGCGGCTGCCAGTCGGAGCGGACAAGACCGTCCTTGGTAGACCGAGGCTCTGACTCAGTAAAAAGCAGCTGGCCTGTGCAGTCTGTTGATCTAACAGGCACAGCCCGCCTTCAGGTACAAGCTCTCCCTCCTCTGTGAGGGCAGATCTGCACGTTCCCCCCCCATCATAGCTAGCAATCCAAAAGAGTCCAGTGGAGCCTGAGCGGTGGGTGTTGCCTTCCGACACACTTCCGGTGATGTCAGGGGGTATGGCCTATGCAAATAAGTTATGCTAATGAGTTATGCCAATGAGCGCCTGCCCTTCTTTTTCTACGAAATGACCCCTGGGCACCAGACTCTGAGAAAACCCTCAAAGGGGAACCTGGCTTCCCCCCTTCCATATGTGGTTTCCCTCACTGGCAGCCTATGACTTCATGGTATGGAACGGGGAAATTGCTGCAGTTCCCCCGTCCGCCCCCCCCCACTGTTGCAGCTCTACTGTGTTGTTTTCTTATACGGAAGAAAGAGAAAGGGGCTGTTTGCAGAGCTCCTCTTGGAGGGGAAGCCGCCCCCCTCTTATGGGTGCACTATAAGGTGGTTCAAAATGCAGCAGGTGGACTTCTAGTAAGTACGGAGGATGCATCTTGCGGAAAGAACCTCCCCCTGGGCTTGCTTCAAAAGAGCTTGTTCTGACCTTTAAACCCCCAAATGGTCCGGGTCCCGGAAATCTCCTGCTTCCCTAAGAGTTTGCCCTAGTATTAAGATTGGCAGCAGTGGCCTTCTTCGGTGTATCCCCCCACAGAGGTGAGGGGAATGACCACTGAAAACAGGGCCTTCTCTGTCGCGGCACCCAGTTTAATTGCACTCCCTTCCTATAACCATCCGCATGGCATCAAACCTGATGGTCTTGTGGTGCCAGTTTAAAACTGGGCTCTTCACCCAGCTTTTGTAGACAGATGTTTTGCTTCCTTGCTTGTTTTTCTTGTCACTTTTCTGGCCCGTTTTTATATACGCTGCTGCGACTCCCTTCACATGGCACCGAGGCGCTGGCTCTTCAATTTGACGCCGCCGCATTATTGAATTGTATTTATGGGACCAATTGCTTATGGTTCTTTAAAGTTGTTTTAATGCGTACAGTGTCAGGAGAACTCCCTGGAGAGCCCTGTGTGGGAGTATATTAAGCAAGCAAGTAAATAAAGAGGTGCAACGGGAGATGCGGCAACATTCAGCTTCCTCTGGTGCAGCAAAAGAGCTTGAGCTGGCTTGCTCTCTTGCTGTTTATTACAGCAGTGCTTCACCGACCCTCTCTTCTTGTTGCCTGCTATGGAATGAGGCCTAAGTGTAAAGGCCTTTATCTTTTTGAAATCTCATTTTAATGGGATATATGACCCACCCCAGACCTTTGGGATGCATCTGTCTAAAAGGGAAAACACATAGGCAGGCATATAAATGCTGAGAGGCAGGCCCTGAGGAGTGATCCTCTGGTAGACAAGCCCCATAGTGCCACTAGGGAACATGAGCCAGGATACAGCTGTGTATGGGTGGGGTAAGCTGGAACCAGACACAACCTCCTCGTCCCACGCATTTGAGCTTTTTCTTTTACTGTGTAGTCTTTTTTTACTGTGTAGCCTTTTTTTTTTACTGTGATTGTAGTGGGTCATCAACTTGTGGATATTAATTTCTATTATATAATGTATACTGAGGACTACTTAGCCCCGCGGTTTCAGTCTAGAGGCTGAATTCAAGGCCTGTGTTTTTAACCTGTATTTTAAGTGCCCTGTACCATAAATTGGTTTATTTTGATCCTGGGGAGGGTGGGGTTTGGGAAGGGAAAGGACCTCAGCGGGTTATAATAACGCCAGAGAATCTGTCGTCTGGAGATCAGTGGTGATTCCAGGGGACCTCCAGGCCCCACCTGGAGGTTGGCAATCCGACTTACAGGGTTTGGTACAGGATGAAATGGGAGAGGGGAGATTCGCATACACTACCCTGAGCTCCCTGAAGGTTTAAAAATGTAACTGATTGATGAGGAACAGGAAGATTCCCTGAGATGAAATAGGTTAGGGAGGTTCACAGAGGAAACCCCACTTTACACACCTCTCATTCTTCTCTTCTCCCTAGGGAAAAACGGTGGGTTACTGTGGGGGACACGTCCTTACGGATCTACAAGTGGGTGCCCATTGTGGACCCCCGGGATGAGGTAAGAGGGAATGCCTGTGGGCTCTTCCAAACTCCATTCCCCCTGCGAGTCCAGTGTTCCCTCTAAGCTGAGTGAGTGTGAGCTAGCTCACAGTCTTTTAGCCTCCGGCTCACACACTTTAATGGAGCTGCGGTGGCTCAAGTGGTTAAGACGCTGAACTGCAGGCTGTGGAAGGTCGGTAGTTCAGCAGTTAGAGACCTGAGTGTGCCGTATGACGGAGTGAGCTCCCATCTCTAGTACCAGCTCCTGCCAACCTAGCAGTTTGAAAGCAAGAAATTGCAAGTAGATAAATAGGTACCACTTCGGTGGGAAGGGAACAGCGTTCCGTGCGCCTTGGTGTTTAGTCATGCCGGCCACATGACCACGGAAACGTCTTCGGACAGCGCTGGCTCTTCGGCTTGGAAACGGAGAAGAGCACCGCAACCCTAGAGTCAGACTCGACTGGCTTTCGAGCAAGGGAACCTTTACCTTTACACACATCTTTGTCTCAGTTCAGGAAGGATGGGGCTCCAGGGCAAACTAATTTATGCAGCAGCCGAATCGCTCCCTCACAACGTTCATGCCAGCAGCTCACGAAGTAGAATTTTTTGCTCGCAAGACCCTCTTCCCCATCGCTCTGCCCTATGTTCTCTCTCGGCCTGCTCTCTTAACAGGAGAAACGGCGCTTGGCAAGCCACAGTGAGCAGCAGAGGACCAAAGAAAGGCGAGGCCGGATCCCCAGTCTGCGGAACAACCCTGCCCTGCTCATGCTGGACCTCAACGGTACGAAGGTGCAGGGTGGGAAAGGGGAGGAGGGGCTGGAAAAGGGCAGGACGGTCCTCAAGCCCGTCGCCCGCAAGGCTCTGCCCACACAAGGGCCGACGACGCCACTTCTTCCTTGGTTTGTGTGTTTGTTTGTGTGTGTGCCTGGAAGTCATGGTTCTGGCGACCCCTACTGGGGGCTTGGACGTTTGTCAGAGAGGTGGCTCGATTAGCCTGTCTCTGCGTCCCGCCTCTGGTATTCCTTGGAGGTCGCCCTGCTTAGCTTCCGAGAACATAAGAACGTAAGAGAAGCCCATGTTGGCTCAGGCCAATGGCCCATCCGGTCCAACACTCTGTCACACAGTGGCCAAAAATACCAGGTGCCATCAGGAGGTCCAGCAGGGGGGCCAGGACACCAGAAGCCCTCCCACTGTTGCCTCCCCCCCCCCAAGCACCAAGAAGACAGAGCATCCCTTGCCCCAGAGCCCCTATCTATACCTTGTGGCTAATAGCCACTGATGGACTTCTGCTCCATATGCTTATCTAATTCCCTTTTGAAGCCGTCCATGCTTGTAGCCGCCACCACTTCCTGTGGCAGTGAATTCCATCTTTTAATCACTCTTTGGGTGAAGAAGTACTTCCTTTTATCCGTTCTAACCCAACCGCTCAGCAATTTCATGGAGTGCCCACGAGTTCTTGTATTGTGAGAAAGGGAGAAAAGTACCTCTTTCTCTACCTGATCTTTCCCACGCAGAATCCGACACTTACACTGAGATCTGATGAGATCGGGCTTGCCTGGGCTATCCAGGTCAAGGCTGACAGAAGCCACTTCCATTGGGTCGGATCAGATCCCCAAAGGTGCGCTGCTTGAGGCTGTGCTGGAGTTAGGGTTGCCAGCACTGGGGAATCCCTGGAGATTTGGAGGTGGAACCTGGAGTGGGTGGAGTTTAGAGAGGGGAGATGGTTTGGTGCGGCAGAGTGCCCTGGAGCCAGCCCTCCGGGTCAGCCGTCTTCTCCAGGAGAACTGATCACTGTAGTCGGGAGATGAGCTGGAATCCCTGGGGACCTCCAGACCAGTGTTCCCTCTAAGTTGAGTTAGTGTGAGCTAGCTCACAGGTTTTTAGCCTCCAGCTCACACATTTCTGTCTCCGCTCAGGAAGGAGGGCTCCAGAGCAAACTAATTTATGCAGCAGCCAAATCGCTTGCTCACAACTTTAATGCCAGCAGCTCACAAAGTAGAATTTTTGCTCACAAGACTCCACAGCTTAGAGGGAACTTTGCTCCGGACTCCACTTGGAGGTTGGCAGACCTAGCTGGAGTTTAGTCCCAAGCAGCCGAGAAGTGATGCTTGTAGGGGGGAAAGGGGCCTACCCAGGCAGTGTGGATTTTCATGGCGTGGTGGTAAATAACATCACATGGTAGGGTTTCCAGCTCCGGGCGGGAAATTCCTGGAGATGTGGGGGTGGGTGTCTCCGGAGGGCAGGGTTTTGCAGCAGGGCAGGGGTCTCAGCCGGGTATAATGCCATAGAGTTCAATGTCCCAAGGAGCCATTTCCTGTCGTCTGGAGAGCAGTTGTAATTCTGGGATATCTCCAGGCCCCACCTGGAAACTGGCAACCCTGTCACCCGGTAGATAGCAGCTTCTATTTAGGAGGTAGGATTCTTTCTCTCCAGGTTGTTGGCAGCCCTTGACGAGAGTGGAAAGAGAAGGGGGGCCAGTTTGGTGTAGTGGTTAAGTGTGCGGACTCTAATTTGGGAGAACCGGGTTTGATTCCCCCCTACTCCGCTTGCAGCTGCTGGATGGCCTTGAGCAAGCCATCGTTCTGTCAGAGCTGTCCTTGAAAGAGCAGTTCTCGAGAGAGCTCTCTCAGCCCCACCTACCTCCCAGGGTGTCTGTTGTGGGGGGGGGAAGGGAAAGGAGTTTGTAAGCTGCTCCGAGACGCCGAGTGAAGGGCGGGGTATAAATCCAATCTCTTCTTCTCTTGAACAGAAAGACGAGGACTTTGTTCAGCTAGCAGGAAGGAGGTCTGCCCTACAGAGTCCACCTGCCCTCTTTTGCCTTTAGAACAGACTGTCTTCCCTCACTGCCAGATTTGGCTGGGCCTGCATTGACACGCACAAAACTCCCAACAGCGTTTTTAGGTAAAGGTAAAGGTTTCCGTTGCTCGAAAGCCAGTCAAATCCAACTCTAAGGAGCAGTGCTCATCTCCGTTTCCAAGCCGAAGAGCCATTTCTGTGGTCATGTGGCCGGCATGACTAGACGCCGAGGTGCACAGAACGCTGATACCTTCCCACCGAAGTGGTACCTATTTATCGACTTGCAATTTCTTGCTTTTGAACTGCTAGGTTGGCAGGAGCTGGGGCCAGAAACGGGAGCTCACTCCGTCATGAGGCACACTCGGGTCTCCGAAATGCTGAACTACCGACCTTCCAGTCTGCAGTTCAGCCTCTTAACCACTTGAGCCACCGCAGTGCAAATTGCACATCTGTGCAAACTGAGGCAAAATGGGCAGCTGGGGTGGGGTGGGGATGAGAAAGAGAAGGCTGCTGTTTTCTTTTGGGGCTTCCTTGGCCCTGCGAGAGCAGGGGTTCCTAACCAGGGCTGGCCCCCGCTTATTTTGCACCCTAGGCGAGGATCCCTTCTGAGGCCCCCCCTGTGCGCCCACCAATTTCCCCTTCTGCCCCCCCTCCGTGCTGCTCCTCCTCCTCCTGAGAAGTTAGCTGGCCAAAGAGGAGGCGGTGGCCACCCGGTCAGAGCCAGTGTGGGGGCTTTTTTGGTGGGGGCAGGGTCAGGGTGCCCAGAGAAGAGGCTGACCAGCGGGGCGCTCACAAGCCATTGCTTCCCTGGCCCTGCTGCTGCTGCTGCCAGTCCCCGGACGCGAGGAGGAGAAGAAGCGCTCACACTCCACTGGGAAGCTGAGGGGGCAGACAGGGAGAAGTTAGCTGGCCAAAGTGGCAGCGGGTGGCAGTGGCGGGGTTCACCCAGCTGCGGAAATGCAATGGGGGGGCTTTTCTTGGGGGCAGTTTGGCGCCCCTAAGGGCTGGCACGCTCTAGGCGAATGCCTAGTTCGCCTAGTGAGTGAGCCGGCCCTGTTCCTAACGGCGGCTTTCCTGTCTCCCCAGACGACAACAGCAACCAGAGTTCGCTTTCGGAGACCTCCCTCGTGAAAGGGGGAGACAACAGCCCCAGCCCCACCTTGGACCGCAGCGAGACGGTCACCCCCACCCCTTTGGGGGAGCTGAAGGCGGAGGACTCCCAGCCCCCCTTGCTGGGGCAGGAAGGAGGTAGGCTCAGTTGGAGGAGGACAGGAGGGCAGTGCCGATGAGTGGTGAGCGTTCCTAAAAATTTTTTTGTTTTTTTTAAAACACATGTCTGCCTATCCCAATGATCCCCTTCCTGTCCTGGGCGCAGATCCTGGGGTGCTGCTTCTGGAGGGAACAGACGAGCCCCCCATGCTCACTAAAGAAGAGCCCGATCCCAAGACATCGGACACCCCGGTGAGTGTGCAGAATGGGGAGAGACAGCAGAATAATCCTTGATTTTACTCATCAGTAGGCTTAGGGTGAAGGGAGGGTGACTTCCCCAATGTCAGATCCTGAAGCTCCGCCCACGTCTGTGGCGACTGGCTGAGGCCCACTTCCTGTGAGGCAATCCTGCATCACTGAGTTATCCACACGGATATAAGGTTTGATTTCCTCCCCTCTCCTCCTCACTAAGTTGTTGCCTGGTCAGGAGGAGCCGGTGTGGGGTCGTGGCGAGAATGTCAGGTTAGGATTCAAGAGGAGCCCATAGGGTGCCCTTGGTCCAAGCTGCGCTGCGTCAGGGCCAGACTGGATGTGACGGTGGCCACGGTGCCGAACCATGGACAGCAACCCCAGTGTAGAGGAAAATTTAGCCTCTTAAAAACTGCCTTGAGGCTGAGGCACAGCAGCGACAGGCGAGGCACGGTGGGGTGAAATGAGATTGGCTGTTGCCGCCGCCAGTCAAGGCTGGTGATGCGGCTGTTGCCGCTGCTCGAGATTGGGCCCTCGCATGAATTTTTAAAAGGCTGCGCTTTCTTCTAGGATGGCGTTAGTGGCCATGGGCTGGCTCCTGTTTGGTTCTGCGCCTAGCAGATCTATTTTGGGGCAGGAACGCACGGGAACGGAGTTCCGGCTGGCTCCCGAGTTGGCCACGCCCAGCAGGAACTCATTAGCATAATAGGCCACACCCAACAGCAGAAACTCATTAGGATTGGCTACATTAGGGGTGTGTGGCCTAACATGCAAAGGAGTTCCTGCTACAAAAAAAAGCCCTGGGTTTTGACAACAAACAAGGTAAACAGAATAAGAAGCAAAAGGTGGGTGTGGCTGGATGACCACACTTCTGGTAACATGGGGGTGTGGCCTAATATGCCAATGAGCTGCTCTGTCAGGGGTGTGGCCTAATATGCTAATGTATTCCTGCGGTTGGGTGTGGCCTGTTATGCTAATGAGTTCCTGCTGTGCTTTTTCTACAAAAAAAGCCCTGGAGCCTAGCATACCTCAACCGATTGCTGGGAAGATAAAACTAAGGACTGGAAAACCACAAACACTGCCTTGAAGTCTTTTGAGGCAGGGCGGGACAAAAATGTGATTGAGGGAGGGTGGTTGTCGTGAGGGGAAGACAGTGGGGACACGACTACAAGGACACACATGAAACTGCTTTCCTAAGTCAGACCGTTCGTCTGTTGCAGTTCTTGGCTCTGACTGGCAGCAGCTCTCTGTGGTCTCAGGCGGAGGGCTTTCACATCACCGGCCTGATCCTTTTAACTGGAGAGCCCGAGACCTTCTGCATTCAAAGTGGATGCTTCCCCACTGAGCCACAATCTCTCCTCCCCATGCTCATGTTAAACTTAAGTAGAGTGTGCCAAGTAGCCAATATCCACCAGCCACCAAAGATCATTGAGCAAAGCCATTGTTAGCTAGTGAGCGGTTCCAACAGACTGCAGAAATGGTCGCCTCTTCAATAGCCGTTAAAAACAAACATTTATTTAATTTTCTTTGCAAGCGTCTAGTTGCTAGTTGGTAGGGATGAAACAAGTGAATGAAAAGTGCTCATAATTCAAGTCTGCTGATATACATCTGAATGTATGTTCTACTGAGTAAGGCTTTTCCTTTCGACCTTTCCGGTTGTGGTTAGTATTAAATATAGGATTTTCCCCAGGAAGTGAAAAAGATTGATACTTGATAGTTAGCATTGTACTTTAAAATCCATCTAGATTAAGAATTTGATTTTTTTAAAAAGCATATCCCAAAACTAAATATCAGAAAAACAGAGTCCAGTGGCACCTTTAAGACCAACAAAGTTTTATTCTGAGTATTCATGCATGCACACGAAAGCTTATACCCAGACTAAAACTTTGTTGGTCTTTAAAAATTTGTTTTTTAAATTATTTTCTAAAACACTACAAGAAAATAGGGACAGGGGACTACAAACGACAGGAGAAAGTAAAGAAAAACACTAAAAACCCAAGAGGTGGTGGTCATATAATGGTTACAATGCAAAGCTTATAGTAAAAATAAAAAAATATTTGGTTACATTAAAAGTGATCATTAATTCCGCTTATATGCTTCAAGTCCAGGACTTTGGACTTCTTAAAGAACAATACAAAAAAACGCTTATATATTAATAAAAAACAAGAACAGACTTCAGAAAATATTAGCATCTCATTTTTTATCTTTTCTTTCCCTCAAACGATATCCTTAGGGGCCGCCGCCCCACGTTCCGAGTCCGAGTCTTCTCCAGTTAGTGTTTCGTCATCACTTCCCTTATGACTCTCCTCGTCTTCTTCCTCTGATGGTCCCAGTTGCTGCTGCAAGAATGCACTAGCTTTCATAACAGAGTCATTTTTTCCCCTCTTGTCTTTAAATTTAAACAGTATGACGTCAGGTATAATCCATTTGTAGGGGATGTTGTTCTTTTGTAAAAATAGAGCCAAGTCTCTATATTTTTTCCTCTTCTTTCTTATTTCAAAAGGAATGTCTTTCAAAACTCTTATCTCCTTGCTGTCAGTTTTAAGGGTAGTTCCATTTGTTGCCTTTAAGATCTGATCTCTCACTTGTCTTCTGGAGACTCTAACCACCACCTCGCCGGGCAGATTATTTTTCTTTATAAATTCTGAATATGATCTATAGATCACATCCATCTCGCTTTGAAGAACATCTGCTTTTAAATCTGCAACCGGTCCCAGGGCATCAATCATGATCTGGTTTAGATTCTCCCCTTTAGTCTCAGGAACTCCTTGAAATCTCAGAATAAAGCTTGCCTTTTCCATTTGCAGCTGGAAAAGCTGGGCCTTATCTGAGTTTCTCTTCTTTTCCATCTCCTGCATTTGTTTTTTAAGCTTTTTAGTGTTGGCATCCATTTCTTTAAGGTTCTCAGCTGTTTGCGCTGTTCCTGTGAAGCAAAATTTTCGTTGAGCATCTTAATTTGCTCCAGCAGGGGTCGCAAAGCATCTGTTAGCATCTTGGAGAAGTCTATGGTTACATCCGGTCGCGTGACCACACTCGCTGAGCTGACACTTCCTGAAGAAGGCTTAGGTTTCGGATGCTTATCTTTCTCCATCTTTTTCAGCGACATCTTTGAGGATGTTTACATTCAAAGTAAAGTTGCCAAAAGTCTCTAAAGCCTGCAAATCGCCTCAAAGTCTCTTGTGAGTTCTTTAATATAGTCTCTTTTCGCTTTTAGTTCCGCTTCCCTTCTGTTTTAAGTCCGTTTTTATTTTGGTGGAGGGGATTCCTGCCCCCTCCTCACTTGCTTTAAGGGGGACTTTCATCCAATTCTCTGGTGTTTGCTTCAACCTAACTCACTTTTAATGTAGATCAAGTAGATCATGCCGTTTATCATTTAAAACGCTTGACCTCCACACGCTTGTCCCGGTGTGTGTCTTTGAGTCCAGTACTGGAACACAGTGGCGAGACCGTTGGGGCATCGGAACGCCTCAATCCACCGGCACCGTGCTGGGGGAGAGGCGATCCTTGGCGCCCCATGGCTAGGAACCCTTCGCAAGGGCTCCAGGGGGGTGCGTACGATTGCACCCCCTCTCCATCCGCCGATTCAAGGATCGCACCCTCGGGAGCTCCTGAGCGGCGCATCTGCCATTAGAGCGCCAAAACCGGAAGCCAAACTTTGTTGGTCTTAAAAGTGCCACTGGACTCAAACTTTGTTCTGCTGCTTCAGACCAACGTGGCTGCCCACTGTAATTTCAGAACGTTAAATATAGAAAAAAATTGATTGAAATTTTGCTAAATTTTGGATTTGGGGGAGCGTGTTTCAGCTCTAACTTGTGAAGGCTGGCAGAGTGGAAATGGTGTTGTGTTTGCCTCTGACCTTTCCTTCCCCTTTCAGGCAAAGGACGCGGGAGGCTCCTTTGAGCCCACAGTAGCCTCTGAGAAGCCGATACCGGAGGCTGAAGAGCTGCCGTTGCTGGGGGCGCCACCGCTGAAACGTGTCCGCACTGAGCCCCAAGAATCCGAGCCTGGCCAGCCCTCGGAGGCCTAAGCACAGGCCCGCTTCGACCCTTTTCCATCTCTTTGGACAGTATGTGTATGTCTGTGGAGAACTTTCTGGAAATGAATGTATTAGGTCAGTATTAGGTTAAAAAAAAATCCGCCACTTGTGAACCATTCCCATTCCCCTGTGCCTGTTGCCCCCTGGTGGAAGCATACTGTGAGCTCACGACAGTTGTAGGTAAAGAAACATGGCGGCATTCGTGGACGCTGGAAGACACACCATGGTTGCTTATGAATGGAAGCCATTTTTTAAAAAATGCTGGGCATGCGTGATTTAAAAGGAAAAGCACAGATGGTAACAGAACGTCGGCAGAAACCGTGTAGGTCCGATGCAGATGAGAGGGAAGGAGGAAGTCCTCCTTGGGAACAGTGCCTTCCCGATCCCTCTAGGCCGCCTTTAAAGGAACTAAGAATCACACCGTGTGCGGTGGGGTGGCATTTATAAGCACACTTGCCAGAAGGCAAAACGCCAATTGGACGGTTAAAAGAAAAAGTATTAGGAAAGTTACAGGGTTCCCAGTGAATCAAAAGTGGAGCAGGCATCCAGTAACTGAAAGCAAAGCAGCGCTTTCATGTGCCCTCTGATCCACATCTTATAAAATATACTGACTGACAGTGTTTGCATACTTTTGTATAATTGTATGGCTTCGGTGATTCAGAGGGAGGGAGGGGAACATGGAGATCTTTGAGCAGTTTGCTTCGGAGACGTGAGAGCTAGAAACCTGATACGGCTATGGCAGTGATGGCGAACCTTTTAGAGACCGGGTGCCCAAACTGCGACCCAAAACCCACTTATTTATCGCAAAGTGCCAACACGGCAATTTAACCTGAAGACTGAGGTTTTACTTTAGAAAAAAACAAATAATACATTAACTTAAGATGATCCAAACAAAGTCAGGAAAGCAATCCCAAATGCTTTCATTTACTTAAAATTATTTGGCAGAGAATTCAACACTTGAATGATGGTCTGGGCCTGGCTGGGGCGATGGCACGCGTGCCCACAGAGAGGGCTCTGAGTGCCACCTCTGGCACCCGTGCCATAGGTTCGCCACCACTGGGCTATGGGGAAAAAAAAGTTTATATTCACAGGATGACAGCTCCCACATTGGTTTACAAGCTAAGCAAGAATTTGGTTGTTAATTGCTAAGATGATCGTAGGCGTTGGAAGGGACTTCCAGGGTCATCTAGTCCCACCCCCCTGCACCATGCAGGAAATTCCCAAATACTTCCCCCTCCACACCCCCAGTGACGTCTGTTCCATGCTATCCTAACGCTCAAGGCTACCGGCAAGCTACACATTCTATCCTAAAAAGACCTTTTGCTTAACTCCAGATACATGGGGCTTCATTTCAGCTAACTTTAAGCAGTGAGGGCAAAGACACCGTTCATATTCTCAAAAGTATTGTCTGTATTATCAATCCATCATTGTTTCAAGGGGTTGATTTGCATTTATACCAGAATCTGGGACTCAGGTCTCAAATGGCCTGGGAGGAGAGCCAGAAGATCTGGGATCCTGTTGCCAGCAGGAGGGTAGATTGACAGACCTCCCCTGTTGGAGTCGAGAGGACGGACTGCAGGGTGAGGGGTGCTGGTAGCAGCTGGAGAGATGGGGCCCATTCCCCATGACCTCCGGGGCCAAATTTGGGTAGAGTTTGAATCCCACGTGTTGTAGATTCCATGGTGTGTACATACATATATTTTTCATTATAGAGTTTGCTAGTAAAATGCCAGCTACGCGTGTGCGTCTGTGTTCCACAATTCCGCGTCATGCCCAACGTACGATCAGTTGCTGCTGCAGGTGTTCAGGGCTGGTTTTATCTCCTTTGCCGCCTCTCCCTCTAAGAAGAGAGAGGCGGTCCTTTAAGAGCACAGTATTCTTCTCGCTGGGCTAAGATGCCACAACCGATCATCAGAATGGACGCTGGCACCAAAGGATACTGGTGTGGGCAGGCTGTGCACGCAGCCTTTGAACCTCTAATACGGGACCTGTTTGTACCACTGTGATGTGATGGGGATAGGAGCCAGCGTTCCCTCTAAGCTGAGTTAGTGTGAGCTAGCTCACAGTTTCTTAGCCTCTGGCTCACACATATTTGTCTCCGCTCAGGAAGGAGGGCTCCAGAGCAGACTAATTTATGTAGTAGCCAAATCGCTCGCTCATAACTTGAATGCCAGGAGCTCACAAAGTAGAATTTTTGCTCACAAGACTCCACAGCTTAGAAGGAACATTGGTTATGACTTACGTGGGCAAGTCGGAGGTGTGTCTGTATTGTTCCCTGGTTGCGACTGGGGATCATGTACCTCAGCGGCTAAGTTGTAGGGCAAGGAGAAAGGGAGCCCCACTCTGCCCAACGGTCAGATTCCCGGGGATTGCAGAAGTGAGCAGAAGGACACTCTGCTCCAGTGCCCAGAGGTCACATGAATACAAGAAGCTGCCTACCGAGTCAATCCATTGGTGGTGGTTGTCTGCCCTGACTGGCAGCCGCTCTCCCGGGTCTCAGTTAGAGGTCTTTCACATTACCCGGTAGTTTTTAACCAGGAAGTGAACCTGGGACTTTCGGCGTGCAAACCTGATGGTCTACCACTGAGCCATGGCCCTTCCCAAGAAGAACAGCATAGTGAGGGAAGACCAGCGCGGCACTTTCTTATTAACCAGAGAACGAGAACTGCAAGGAATTTGATTCTCTCTGCCCCCCCCCCTTGCCAGAAAGAACTCTTCTCTAACTGCCAGTTGCAACTGTAAGCGAAAGATAACGTTGTCCCATCCCGGGGGCCACAGGAGTCAGGGCTGCTGGGTGGTTGTCCCACCTCCATGCCGGGAAGACAAGCCCACCCCAACAAGGCAAGATCACTTAGGGGGACGTAAATGTCTCTTAACTGCTCACCATTCCCTGTTGCCGCTGGCCAGCTTAATGTCCCTTTCCCTCTTCCTCCAGCCAGTTTGGTGTAGTGGTTAGGAGTAATCTGGGAGAACCAGGTTTCATTCCCCACCTCCACATGCAGCTGCTGGCATGACTTTGGGTTAGTTACAAGTTCTTTCAGAGCTGTCCTCTCAAGGGCAGTTCTCTCAGAGCTTTCTCAGCCCCACCCGCCTCACAGGGTGCCTGTTGTGGGGAGGGGAAGGGAAAGGAGGTTGTAAGCCGCTCTGAGGCTCCTTTGGATAGTGAAGGGTGGGGTATAAATCCAATCTCTTCTTCTTTTCCTTCCAGTTTTCCCCTTGTGTGTCTTACATTTTAGCTTGTAAGTTTGAGTCTGATCTCATCATTCCTTCCAACACTAGGGCACCTATAAACACGGTAGAGGGTGGTGGCATTGGGGAACTCTCCAAATCTGTAAATTCAAAAACAAAAGAATTCTCCCCTCAACAGTCCCAACAGGTACTGAGCACGCTCAGTGGCCCTTCAGGAGGCACAGAATGTTGAGGGCAGTTGAGCATCAGTTGGGGGTGGTGGGAGTTCCATCAAGTTGCAGCCGATTTATGGTGACCCCCAGGGCTTTTTTTGTCGAAAAAGCCCAGCAGGAACTCATGAGCATAATAGGCCACACCCAACAGCAGAGACCTATTAGCATATCAGGCCACACCCACGTGTTACCAGAAGTGTGGTCATCCAACCACACCCACCTTTTGCTTCTATTCTGTTTACTTTGTTGTCAAAACCCTGGGCTTTTTTTTGTAGCAGGAACTTCTTTGCATGTTAGGCCACACCCCCCAATGTAGCCAATCCTAATGAGTGTCTGCTGTTAGGTGTGGCCTATTATGCTAATGAGTTCCTGCTGGGTGTGGCCAACTCAGGAGCCAGCCGGAACTGTGCGTTCCTGCCCAAAAATAGCCCTGGTGACCCCATAGAGTTATCAAGGCAAGAGATGATCGGAGGGGGCTTGCCATTGCCTGACCTTGGGTTTTCCTGGTGGTCTCCCTTCCAAGTGCTAACCATGGTTGACCATGGAATGGACTTAGATGGGAGATCACCGAGGAAGGCTGGGCTTGCTATTTGGAGGAAGGCAGTGGCAAACCACGTCTGCTTGTCCTTTGCCCAGAATCCCCTGTGAATGGGTTGCCATGAGTCCGTTGTGACTTGACGGTACCACAGTGGTTTTTTTGCTGGGGGAACGCACTGGAACGGAATCCGGGAACCTCTTCAACGAAATTGTTTTTAAAATGTTTAAAAGTTCATGAGTTTTCAGCGTACAGATTGAAAACTTAATTTCCCTCTTGAGAGTTCTGGCACCTTTAAAAAAAAAAGCTCTGGATGGCACTTTATTCTTCTGAGACATGGACCTTGGGAAAAGGCCCTGGCGAAAAAAAGAACCCTAACCCTGTTCGACTGTCTCAGCAAAACCGAATAGTAGTCCAGTGGCACCTTAAAGACGCAACATTTATTTCAGCATAAGCGCGCGCCGAAATAAATTCTTAGTCGTTTTGAAGTTGTTACTGGACTTCTGTTTGATTCATTGGAAGAATAATTAAGCTGCTAGTTCCTGGGTTACACTGTATTAAATGCACCCCATTGGAAGTTGGTTCATGGGATGGATTCTTTTTTATTGGGATTGCACAGTGAATTGTATTCTGACTTGGTACACATTGTGCTCACATTAAAGATGGACATTATTATTTTATTATTTATTGTGCTCACATGTGAGCACAATGTGTGCATTATTACACATTGTGCTCACATTAAAGATGGACATTATTATTGTTAGTAAAAAAAATAACATACCAAAACCCAGCCCACTGCACAATTCATCCATTCTATGAGTTTTAATGGATCAGTTAAGCGATGGAGCAATCCCTGAGCCAGTCTACACGAGAAGTAAGTCACATTATTCAATGGGGATCTTCCTCCTAGCAGGTCTACTCAGAATCCTTCCCGAATCCAATCAGTGGAGCTTACTTCCAGGAAAGTGACCAAGTTGCAAGTCCATAAAGGTGTGCATGAAATTGATGAATTCAAGAATCCAGCAACACTTTGGGGGGGGGACCCCATCTGCCTTATAGATGATTTGATAGGGGCGCAGCACCTTCATGGTCCGAGAATACCTCTTCCAAGGAAAGCCTCTTCTACGATTGAGTCTTAGGACTTTTGTTGGTCCTAGGTGAACCACGATTAGCAATAAAGGAACAACAAATAAAACTTTGGGCCTGATTAATCGGAGTGGGCACATTTTTAATTGATCCCCTTTTTTTAAATCAGCCAATCGTTAGGCGGCTATCTAGAGGATTAAACTGGGGCACAAAAAAGAGCCTGCGGTCCCCTGCGCCCTTACTTGGGAGCAAGCCCTACAGAAGCGGGACTCGCTTCCGAGTAAACGCACGGAGAATTCCGCTCGCGGGCTCCAGTCACCCGGGACCCGCGCGCGTCCGCCCGGCCAGCAACAGTCGAGTAGGGGACCCCCAGCCCCCTCCCCCTGCGCGAACAGGCCGGGCAAGGAAGAGTTAATCCCCGCTCTTCTCCCCCCGCCCCCCGCCCCATGTGCAGCCGAGAGACGGAAGGGGAG